GCTGTTCAAAAAGTAAAGACTAAAATTATTTCTTATTTTTAATCTTCTCCAGGATGCTGCTGCTGTAGGCTTAAAACTCTTCATGCACAATAGTTTCATTTTTTTCCCTGTTCTTTAAAGCCAATATAAAAGATTGAACACAGAGAAACAGCCACTGGGAAAACTGAGGTATCCTATCCAAATAAGCATTGACTGACTGATATGTCACTGTCATAGAATAGTCGTAGTATAAATATACACATATATATGCACCTACTTGCCTGTCGACAGAGGCACAATCGCTATGCTAAGAAGTAGTGTATGCGTTACACTTTGAAAAGAATATAAAAATAAAGAATTTTCCCTTTGGAGTCCTTTTTCTGAAAATAGTTTCACTGAAGATGTTTAAAATTTTTTTTAATAGCCTTAGAATATATTCAGAGCCCACCAAAAATCTACTCTCTGAAAATGCTTATCACCACCCATTCGCTGTGTGGGAAGCCTAAGGCAGCTGTGCTGCTGATGTACTTGCCTCTGTTAGGTGCCTGAAATGACATGGAGTGAATCTGGGTTCTGGCTTGCCGACAGCAGAGGCTGCTTTATTAGCACACCTGGGTCATTGCACTGTCCCAGCAAAGTATTGCTAATACAGGGGGAGTCTGGGCTTGCAGAAGTACTTTCCACAATAGACCTTTTTCAGCCCAAACTTCTATCAGTCTCATTCTCCTTTCCCAGCCACCCCAAGTGAAGGCTGTGTCCACATAGCAATAGCTGTATGATGTAACATCAGAGCCCTCCTGCTGGGCTGTTGATTTTTGCTGGTTCCTTGAGCAAAGCAAACATCTCAGGAAAGATTTAGTTTTGGGATAGAATTGTACCAGTAATACAGCTTCCTCATAGTATAGTTCTCTAAGGCTCATACCTCTTTCCACTGCTGGTTGACACGGCAGAAGCCAGAGACGTTTCTAGCATGCAAACAGCCTGTATGTAAGAACTGAAACTGAGAGAGCAGCACAACTTGCTGATGAGAGCTAAGTGAACATCAGTGTTACGAATGTTTCCTCTTCATAGGTAGCCTGACTTCTGCTCTGTCTTTGCCACAAACCTGCTTGGGTTTTCATCGCTCTGGATTCTGCCTATATTATTGTGGACTACTCACAGATCTGGAAGTTTACAGAAAATAGGGCTAGAAGAGACTGAAAGAGAGCACTTTGTTTGTTATGCTGCTGCAAAGCAGTATTGTAGTAACCACTATTGCTGTGCTTAAACATGCTGACCCAGAGGTAGCACATTATTTTGGTGACCAGCTGCATGCTGTGTTTTAAAAACCACTGTAGCTCACTGTTGTTGGTACCAGTTCAAATTTCTGACCACTGGATTTGGCGCAAGAGCTAATGGTTTGCTATCTCTGACCTCACCTGTTTTTAACAACCTTCAGTGATGGAGACTGCAAATCCTCTCCAGGCAATTATCATTATTCTTCATTTTCCTTTGGAAATAAGTCCTCTCTGTCTTCTTTTTCTTCTCTTTTTTTGGAGTTCTTGATATTTTCCTACAACTTCTTGGAACATGTTGCCTGTTAGCCATAGAATATGTGTAACATATTTTGTGTAACATTTCCAAAAGCAGACTCAGGTATGCTGATGAAAATTCAGCATAAAGCGCATCATTTCCCTCACAGTGCTGACTTAAAATAAGTGAGTTAAATCATTACTGCATTTTTGGTATCTCTCTGAACCTGAATGACTAAATTGGAGTTATTTTCCCTGCTGTGAATTAGCTTCATCTTGTTTTCCCAGTTAGCTGAAGAAAAGATGTACTAAATTATCTGTCATCTCAGTTGAGCATGTTTCTTTATCTCACGCTGAAGTGTTTGGCCATGTAACACTGCATAAATAGGTGATTTTGTTCCATTGTCCATACTGTTAAAAACACCAGGAAAACAAATGGAGTTCAGGAGGAAAAGGAAAATTTGATGTGGCTCTTGACTGGCATAAGAGAAAATCACTAGGTTCTAAGCAGTTATTGAAACTTTACTTTTGACTGCTGTTGTAATGTGTGACTTAAGGTGCAGTTAAACTTCTCTAAGTAGAGTAACTTAACCTTCTGTATGAAAATACAGTTACAGGCTATGGGCTGCACAAGAACTGTTTAGTTCTTCTTATGCATTAAATAAATGCTATTAAATGTGTAGCTCTTTCCCCTAATGGGGCTATTCTGATGTGTGTGCATTGTAGGTGCCAAAGTGCTGTGTTAATAAACTCAAGTTATGTTTATGTATATGTATGTGTGTCAAGATCTTAAATAAACAAACGGTAAGAATAACATAGAACTAAAATAATTCAGCTGAGAAGGGATGAGTAACATTGCCATTTTTCTCCTTCATAATTACTCTGATTTAGATTTGGAGTATGAAACAAGATACCTGTGTACATGATCTTCAAGCTCACAGCAAAGAGATTTATACTATCAAATGGAGTCCTACAGGACCAGGCACCAGCAACCCGAACTCCAACATCATGTTAGCAAGGTAAAAAATATACCTCTTTCTGTTGCCTGCCGAGAAGAAGGATCGTCTTTCTGATGTCTAACTCTGCTCTCACCTTGCCATCAGTCTTTTTGCAGACAATTCCAGTAAACAGTACCCACGTTTGTAAATCAGGGGCATGGATACAAAGGGCAAGGAACCATATTTGGAAAAGGAAGAAGAAAAAGAAGGAAAATAAGAGTCATACAATATTTAACTTTTCAGCTCTCTTGATAAGAAGATTGTAAATTGCACCTTCACACGCGGCATCCGGTTGTTGTGAATGAAAGTACTGAAAGATGCAGATGGCAGCCCTTTCAGCCCGTGTGTTCCAGCCAGGGACATGCAGCTCACCTGGGCACATATTGACAATTTTCATAGCCTCGTTAACTAACAGAGAAAAGCTTCGATAATCTTTAAAATTCCACTTAAAAGTCTGTTCAAAATTCTTCTTTGAATTTAGGAAATATGTTTACTTGTAGAATGCCAGTTGATGGTAGTACCATGAGATCATCAAATCAGTTCATGGTGTATTCAGTTTAGGGAGGAGTTCTATCAAAGCTGGTTTATTTATTTTACTCCTTAGTCTGGAAGTGGACAGGGAAGAAGAACTTCGTTTTCTTGGAGTTGTTCTTTTAATATCATTTTTAATACCAATTATTTCCCTTGCCTTTCTCTAAGCCCACAGTTTGGGATTTAGATGCATTGTAGCAAAAAGCAGCACTGAAACAAAGTGAAAAGAACGACAGTTCTAGAGAAGTACAAATGCTAATTCGTTAAATAATGCAAATCAATTAGGAATAAGATTTCTCTGGAAACATTTACCCTGTTAATGACAATGTGTATTTTACCTTCCTGAATAATATCACGTAGAATCTCAAAAAGCAGGAGCTTGACCCTCTTAGGGCTGGTGATCTGATCCTGCGTACAGCACCCTGAGATAAACTCAAAGGTTCCACATACAAGAATTAGGTTCTGTAGATACAATTCTTGTCAAGGCTGCAGTGAATATTAGCTGTCCAGTTTGAAATGTTATTTCTTGCTTAGCCAAGGAAAAAACCCTGTGTTATTCTCTTAAAACGTTTACAGTATCAAATTACAAATTGGTTAACGCTCAAATTAAGACACGCTTGTGTATGAATGCCTCTTGCAGTGCTTCGTTTGATTCCACTGTTCGGCTGTGGGACGTTGACCGAGGAGTCTGCATCCACACGTTAACAAAACATCAAGAGCCTGTCTACAGTGTAGCGTTTAGTCCCGATGGAAAATATCTAGCCAGTGGGTCCTTTGACAAATGTGTCCATATATGGAATACTCAGGTACTGTTTTTGTTTCACGTAAAGCACACCTGTTCTAGATGACACATGAATAGCAAAAGCTTAAATGGAAAATAGATGTACCTCTGTAGCGCATGACCTGCCAGCCAAGGTGAACCTGATTGTGTTGGCTGATACAAATCCCAGCATAAGAGTGGAGTCACTCAGGTGGAGCGAGGTGACTGTCCAGAACATTTCTGCTCAGGCTTCATTGTGTATACCAAAACACTAGCGTGCTTTTGGTAGGTGCGTCACGTTGTGCCATCAGCTTTGTGAAGCAAAGGTGCAGGTTGATTCTTGGATATAAGTGATACTTTTATTTAGTAACAAGCTGAGTTCAGTTGTGAGTCCGATGCACCTGGCGTATACTTTGCAATGAGGAGGTGACAGATACGAGGGATGTACAGGCTGGGGTCTGGGGGTATTCTGGAGAAAAGTGGGGTATCATAGTTCCATAGATTTAATTCTGGATACTGATGCCTCACAGCCTGGATTAAAGACAAAATTAAGAAAAGACCACCTCAGCCTAATTCCCCGGGCCTTTACCATTACAAAGTTGACAAAAACAGATGTCTGAGAGTCCTACTGTAAACTGCTTTCTGGAGAAGCCTTTTTCTCTTCATTATCAAAGACCACTTTCCTAACTTCAGCACATTATGGAGATGACCATAGTTGGGTGATGTGAATAGCTATCCCCCGCCACCACTGTCTTCTTTTTAATGTAGTGCCACGCCACAGAAAAAAGAAGGGGAAGTTCTGTATCAAATGTTTGCTTGCTGTTTTGCTTTGTAGAGTGGAACTCTAGTACATAGCTACCGAGGCACCGGGGGCATCTTTGAAGTCTGCTGGAATGCTAGAGGAGACAAAGTGGGAGCAAGCGCATCAGACGGATCGGTAAGGAGCTTTACATACTGTAAATGTTGAGTGGAGATTACTCTTCTGGAGAGTGTCAACAAAAAACATACATGCCATGCTTCCTTCTCTGGACAGAGCTGACGAGTAGGCAGCTTAAGTCAGAAATAAGTAGTTCAGTGAGGTATATTGAGAACACTCCTGCTTTGGAAGATTTTGAATACGAGGAGGTGGTGGTCCTATTGGAAGTGAAGAATGTTTCTGGAATAGGTCAATATTACTGAAGATGGGAATCACTTTTAAATATGTATTTTGTAAGAACAACAGTGGTGTTGTTTCTATCATTATGTAACTCATCTGCCAATTTTAAACGAAGGTCAGATCACAGCACTCAACTCTCTAATGTGCAGTTGTCCTGGGGCCTTCTAAGTTTTATGCTGCAGAAGAAGTTTATCCTTGAATAGTTCCTAGAAGAGGGAGTTTTCAGCATGATGCCAAAAGATTTCATCGCATGGTAAAGGAGAAACATTACCGTAGAGATACTGATTGTTCATTACTATTTTTCCTGTTAATGTGACTTTAAAAAAATTTCAGTTGTAGCCCTTGTGAAGGGCGCACAGCACTCTGCAGCTTTTTAAAATAACGTTTCTACATGGCTGACTGACATAACTACTTCATAGCAGTATTTTTCAACTGGTTTTGACAAAGGGTACACCTATGACACGATTCAGTTGCTTGAGCTTAGTTATGCCATTTGAGATGGTGCCATACCTGGCTTCCAGCAGCTGTTCCAAAGGGGCGTGTGTCCTCTCCCAGTCCTGTGTCCTGCCCGCCAGGCCTGTGCATCTGTTTTGGATATATTTCAGAAATGGAAGTGAACACTGTATTCAGGCAACTAAATATTGCCCACGGTCTTATCCGGGATGTGCCACCAAATGTTTCATAGTATCATAGAATTGTTAGGGTTGGAAGGGACTTCAAAGATCATCTAGTTCCAACCCCCCTGCCATGGGCAGAGAAACCCTCCACTACACCAGTTTGCCCAAAGCCTCATCCAACCTGGCCTTGAACACTTCCAGGGATGGAGCATCTACAGCTTCTCTGGGCAACCTGTTCCAGTGCCTCACCACCCTCTGAGTGAAAAATTTCTTCCTTATATCTAATCTAAATCTGCCCTCTTTCAGTTTAAAGCCATTGCCCCTTGTCCTGTCACTACACGCCCTTGTAAAAAGTCCCTTTCCATCTTTCCTGTAGGCCCCCTTTAAGTACTGGAAGGCTGGTGGAAGGTCTCCCCAGAGCCTTCTCTTCTCCAGGCTGAACAGCCCCAGTTTGCATCTGATCCAGTGAAAGCCCAGCTAAATGTTAAACGTATGGTTTTCACTTGGGTTTTCTCCCAGGCCAGGTTGTTCCCTCGCTTGTGTGCATGTAAACAGGTACTTGAGACAGGCTCGTTTGAATCCGGGGAGTACGACGTGCCACTGGCTGATCAGCCTGTGTACGGAGCTGTGTATGAATAGGACTTCCACATCTCTTTCGGAAATGGTTCTTAATGCTGAGTCTTTTCTCTCCAGGTCTGTGTTCTAGATCTGCGGAAGTAAAAGTGAAATGTGTTAGAAGAAACTTCAAATGGACCAGCAGTGAATGTGTGGGGAGAAGCACTCTTCAAAACTATTCTTAACAGCTCCAGAACTGTACGAACTTGAACAAAGTTAGAGTGTACCGTGAAACCAACTCTCCCTGGCCACAGGTGTCTAGTATTTTGTCCGTAACCTTCATCAAGGAGTAAAAACACAGTCACTTCAGAGGGGGAGGGAATGGTTTCCAGCTGGAACATTCAGCCTTGGAAGCATGAAGCCACCAGCTAGGCATTGCACTGTTTGGTTTGCGTCTGAGAACTTGCTCTGATGGCTGGGAAAAAACAGCTGTGCCAAAAAAAAATTAATAAAAAAAAAAAAAAAAAGAAAAATGCTGTGATAAACCAAAAGGGAAAAAAAATCCTCCTCCATGCAGTGTTGTATTTTTTCCTTCCAATTTGGACACTACAGTTGCTCTCCCAAAGGACGTTCAAAGACCAGTTTGTACTGATGAAATGCTCAACTTTGTAATCACAACACTTTCTATTTTCTAGACTACTTTTTTTGTTCAGTGGTTTTTCTATCAGCTGGAATATTACAGCCTGGAGGATCCCAGGCTTAGGATGAAACTTTTGTTTTCCTTTTATTTCTCCCTTCCACTCCCAACTTCTCCTTCCTTTTTTTTTCTCCTCTTTCTTCTTGCCCTTTTTTTCTTTTTTCCCTGTATGCCCATAGTAGATGCAGCCAGGTGGACATGACAATGAAAATTTTTGACAGACTGCTTCTCCTCTCTTCTCTCTCTTCCTTTTCCTTTCTTTCTCTCCGTTTAAAAGAAAAAAAAATCCTCCATGCTTCAGATCTTAGCGTCTCAAGGGCACTTTCAGCAAATTGTGTAATAAGTGCTTTATATAAGAATGCAGTGCTGGGGAAGATTTTTACAGGAGAAAGATGACTTTTAACAGAAAGAACCCAGTGTATTTTTGGAAAAAAAATATTTTTTATGTTAAACAGTTTTAAAAGCCTAAAATGGCCACCAAATGTAGACCAGTTGTGTAATTCAAGCAAAAAGAATGACACAGAGTCCGAGGAACATGAAAGGTGCAGTATCCTTTTTCCCTTCTCTCTCAGAAAGTGCTGTAAGAAAAAATGCCACTTGACACAATAAATGCCAGTCAGTTCCTAAGAGTCCTCTTCCAGCAGCCAGCCATTTGTATAGTCTCATTTCATTTTCGTGGCTGTTTGGTGGTGTGCATGTGTTAAAAGAGATTCATAAGTTTGAGACTGTAAATACAGCATTCATTTTCTTGAGTCCATATTCTTGTTTATCCTTGGTAACCAGGGGACAACGATGGTGTATCTTCTTTCCTCTAGCGATAGTTCAGATGTCGTACAGAACATGGGTTTGGGTGCCCGTTGCCCTTGCTGAGCAGTGCTGTCCTCCACTGTTCATCCCACTCAGTTGCTTCTCTTCCAGTAAGTCAATGGGATTTTACCACTGACTTAAGGGGACCAGTTGGACCGAGATGTATTGACTGCATCTATCATTGTTGAAGAACGGACTCTTGCCGAGGTCGTGTCCATCCGTGGTCGGCACACACCTGGAAGCAGGCTCTTCCATTGCATCGGGCAGTATGCGGTGCTGCTGTCACCCTCAACTACGCATGCGCTGCGTGCTGCAGGGAAAGCTCTGGCTCTGTGCCTGGAGGCTCACTGTCTGCCCAGACAGGTTTAGCCTTGAGAGTGTCCTCAGTGCAGTGCTCAGAAGACAACATAGAACTCCCATCAGATGAGGACATGAGAAAGGATATATAATTTATATCTCAACATATACGCTACTATAAAGGTACAGTGGGTGAAATGATCGGAATGACAATGAAGACTCCCAAAGCATCACCTGTCCATTTTGAACATGATTTCCTCTGCAAGCTGGACATCTCCAGCGATGCCTACTGAAGACCACGCTACTCTAAGAGCAAATAATGGACACGAAGAAGAATGCATAGGCAGAGTCTACTGAAAGTGCTGTAAACTACAAGGCAACCTCAGGGTGGTGGCAGCTGTTGTTTTGACAAGTCCTCAGAACTGGCTGAGGCTAACAGGTGTCCTCTCTAACCCACAGGCTAGCCCAGGATTTGTAGGAGAGAAGAAGCAAGCAGAGAACCCCTTTAGCATCGTGTGGTGCTTTCCAGCCCAAAGTCGCTATTTCTGTAACACAGGGTGTTCCCTTTGATTTGACCACAGCTGCTGAAGTGGTGGTTTGATCTGAGCAAAACCAAAACCAGAGCCGTAGTGCTGAACTGGTGGTACGAGACCTGCCAAACATCATGGCATCATCATGGCATCGTGAGATCCATACCTCATTGTTTCTCCTGTGTTTTCCTCTCTTTACACTTGAATCTGCACAGTATCCTTGTCCTTCCAGTGGAACTAGCCACCGCCAGCTTCAGCTGCATTTCTTAAAGATACACATTTGAAAAGGAGAAAAAAAATAAAAATAAATAACTGCTAAAAGGGTTACTCAGTCCTGAGGTGAAAATAATTATGTGGGATTTTGGTTATTAATGACAGTTAGGCTTGTCTACAATTTGTGTCAAAAAATTAGATGCTGGAAGGTACAGAAGATTATTTTTGGTGTTAAATACATTTATGTGTTGGTTTTAGTTTTCTGCTCCAACAGCATGGGCTGTAGATGATGACTTGGCAGTTTTTCTCTGTTTTATAATATAAACCACATGTACCTACTAATTTAAAGTCACTACTTAAAAAAAAAAAGTACTTGTTCAAAGAGAGACTTGAATTTGAATACAAAGGTTTAATGTGGTTTTATAAAAAGCACGGTTGGATCGATGATTTGATTACAGTCACTGCATGTACACGGTTAACTTCCCTAAGCTGCTTTTGGGTGGCGTTTCTGACAGTAGCACGCGGAAGCTCCGGGTGTGCAGGCGGTGGAGGACAGCGCGGACAGGCCTGGGCTGGCACCTGTCCCTCAAGTGGCACCTGGATAGACCAGACCTCAGGATTCAAGGAGATGAGGTTGCTCAGTCCAAGTTCAGCGATGCCATGTGGCTGACTGGCTCCGTAGCCCACCTTTCGTGCTTGTTCCCGGGATAGCTACTGAAGGTAACTCGGCAGCGTCCGTGATGCCTGTTTCTTTTTCCTTCTTCCATTTTTTGATTTGTCAGAACACCACCTTTCCTCTGCCCACCTACATGGAGGTCGGAAGCCGAGTGAAACAAAATTTGGAAATCAGTTGGTTTGCAAAGCCTGCGTGCGAGAGGGGCTGCTGGTCCAGAGAGTCTTCTGTACAGACTGTGAGATTTGAAAGCAGCGTGTGTGAACAGCAAAGAAAATTCACCTTTCTGCTCCTCCCCAACACCCTAAAGTCCAGAAAATGCTCAAAGATACTGTAGTAGATAGTTTTCAGCTAAAATGAGGGCAGCTATTAAGGAAAGCAGAAGACGTAGTTGCGAAGGCTAATCCTAGCCTAAGGAGCTGGTTTCTGTAGGAGATGGGTGATGGGGAGAGAGGCTTTTCCAGGGTGCAGTTCAATGTGGACATCTAAGCCTCAACCTGCAGAACTGGCCTGGTGGGAGCTCTTGCTTTCCTTCCCTGCAGCGGCAGCATCCCCTGGCCCGCGGGGCCCGTCTGCGGCTCCC